CCACCATATTATCTTCCTATGATTGAAGGATATTACTCCTTTGACATACATTTGTATAACCATGTACATTGTTAATACAGACCCACCTAATCTTCTCCTTGCAATTTCACGAATTTATGTTTTCCTGAATCCTATTCTAAGCAATTTGAATTGAATATTCGTATACTAATGCGATCCTTTTTGAAAGTGTCATCACGAAAATACGTTCGTCTCCCCCGCTTGGTAGATAATGAATATCTATCTCGCCATATAATGTATACATCATGTTCGGTGCTCAGCTGCATGACAAAAATATATAGTTAAGGTACATATGTGTATCATTTTATCTGTTAGTATCATACAGAGTAGCTCAATAAATAACATTGATCTATCGATATGTTCGATAAAGCACTGATTTAGGTTGTTCAATCACATCTAATGTTTTTCATATAGAGATTGTCGTTAGACAAACCATAAACTGCTTATGTCACGATAATGAGGTAGGTGAAGATATCTGTAAAAATGATGTTATTGAAATTTATTCACAGTTTACAGTACAGGAACAAGCGGTATATATTTTTATTAATTTAACGATAAGTAAATGCTTCATTGCCTCTCGTAGATTATATGAAATATTAAAATTCAATAGGTTTTACATATGGTGATTTAAATTGATTATCTGATGGAAGGAAATACAAATCACACACATGGATATGCTTAGATTTATGTATATTCTACTTCATCATTCTCAATAATATCGTTTTAAAGATTTCATGTAACAACTCATTAAGCTGATTTAAAAAGGAGTAAAATATACTATATTAGATAAGTTTGTGCAGATGTCTCTATCGGAAAAATCAGATACGAAATAATACCTGAATTCGGCAAATTACATATACCATGCATGTGATATTTAACGATTCTCATTCACGTAAAACATGGAACCATATTAGATAAATCCAGCTGTTATGTATATCAGCGTTATCCGGAAACCCACTGTACGACATTTTCTATTGCCCAGTTTAAACAGGATTTAACATGTGATTATGTCGAAAAAATATATTATCGACCTATATTTTGCTTTCTAATTACTTTTATAAATGCGACTTAACTAATTTACAGGTGGTTAATACATTTTAAACTAATCTGATAAATTAATCTTACTCATCAGAAATTGCTGTGGCGTATCTGAGGTTTTCTATCACTAAAGGTGATCTAAATAACTTAAAAGGCCAGTGATGAAAAGTGAGATGCTCTATTGATTTCCACTGTGAGTTACCACCTGTAAATGTCAGTGACGTTGTGTATTAATTACAGGTTGGAGTTGGTACCCCAGTATACATGGTGTGTTAGTATGTCAGTGACGTTGTGTATTATTGGTACCCCCAGTATACATGGTGTGTCAGTATGTCAGTGACGTTGTGTATTAATTACAGGTTGGAGTTGGTACCCCAGTATATATGGTGTGTCAGTATGTCAGTGACGTTGTGTATTATTGGTACCCCAATACATCTGTTGTGTTAGTTTGTCAGTGACGTTGTGTATTATTGGTACCCCCAATATACATGGTGTGTTAGTATGTCAATGACGTTGTGTATTATTGGTACCCCAATACATATGGTGTGTTAGTAGGTCAGTGACGTTGTGTATTATTGGTACCCCAAGTATACATGGTTGGTCAGTATGTCAGTGACGTTGTGTATTATTGGTACCCCAATACATATGGTGTGTTAGTTTGTCAGTGACGTTGTGTATTATTGGGACCCCCAATGTACATGGTTTGTTAGTATGTCAGTGACGTCGTGTATTATTGGTACCCCAATACATATGGTGTGTTAGTATGTCAGTGACGTTGTGTATTAATTACAGGTTGGAGTTGGTTCCCCCAGTATATATGGTGTGTCGGTCAATAGGCACGTAATTGATATTATGGAAGACGACCAAGGATGACCAGTTATCTCTGTCAAGTCAGGTGACATATTTAACCCACGAGGCGCTATACGGCCGGACAAAAGCCACTTAATGTATTCAAAAATGTGGTTTTTACCCGAAAAACGAAAACACAGTGATACCAAAAATATCCATTATTTGAACAATATCTAAATTAGTTCTATAAGTCAGCCACAAGTAAACAATAAAAGTGGCTCCTTGTTATCCCCAATACTATACAGGTACGAACCACTCGGAGTGGCTAGCTACCTATACATGCATTTTGAAAGGTTGTTTGCCAGGTCAAGTGCTCAGCAAGGGCACTCAAGACATCACACGTACATGTGTTACACAGAATACGTGTCATGGATAAAGAGATGGTGACTTATGGTGTAATCTATGGCAGCCAACTTTATATGTATACCTCAGTCAGATACCAGGTATATACTAATGGGAAATACCTCTACTCCTTTATGATACATCTCTGTTATATATAACGGGATTTTTAATCAAACAATCTTTAATTTATCAAATGATAAACAAGATGTTACCTGTTTATCTATAGACGTGTACTAAAGGAGTACTGAGTCAGTGACAATGACATACTCTGTAAAATTAAGGATTTATATTTCTAATATACGTCGCTGGTGAAGTCGGGGTGCTGTAGATATAAATCATATGAACAGAAACGTCCCACTGACAGTTTGATTAAAACCTTAGATACCCAGATATTGGTTTACTGGGTGATATAATTGGTTAACTGAGTGGCAGGTAGTCCATCAGAAAAAAAGTTATATAGTACCGATCAATAACAACGTCGGTAAACAGGTGCCATTTTCACGAACTTATTCTAAATTAATTTTAAGTGTACCTTATGTGCAATAAAATATGTATGAACATTCTTAAGTTTACCATTTAGCAAAAATAGCGACAAAATACTAGATGTGGAATAAAACTGATTTGCTGTATATTATGCGCTAACACATTGCATTTTAACCAAGGAGATGTATAAGGTTTTATAAAATCTTAATTCGAAGTATACTGATATGAACAGACTTAGATTACACATTTCTCTAATAGTAAGTGCTTAACTAGGTTCCCTTCGGTACATAGACGGTGATGCTTACGTATTACGGTCAATCACGGCAAAGAGAGCTGATTAAAATATATATATGACTTACCACTTGTTTGGTAATCCAGCTTAGATATAATTGAGTAACCAACAGTAGCTTATCCTACTTTAATGCTTAACATAATACGTATTTATATATTTTGGCTAAAAGGTTTCGGTGTCTGGAAGTCTTGCAAAAAAGCAGATTTCAAACGTACTAAATACAGGAGCGATGGGTTTAGTTATAGCCAGAAACAAAGTACTAAATACAGGACGTATGAATCTAGTTCTGACGATCAAAATTAATAAATATAAGACTAACTGATCTGGTTTTTTTTTATCAGGATAAATTGTTTGAAATAAACAAAAGCCACACGAATAATAATGATGTACGTGGAAACTCTTGAAAAAAGAAGAACAAGATAAAAAAAAAAAAAGACGAGGACCAACGCGAAATCGAGTTGAGGCGAGAAAGTAATCGATTATAGGCTAGAAAGTAATCAATTCTAGGACATGAAGTAATATGCTCTAGGATAGGAAGTTACCAGATCTAGGATATGAAGTTATCAGATTTAGGGTAGGAAGTAATAGGCTCAAGGTTGGAAAGAAATCAAATCTAGGATAGAATGTAATCCGATCTAGGATAGGAAGTTACCAGGTATAGGATATAAAGTAATATGCTCTAGGATAAGAAGTTACCAGGTCTAGGATATGAAGTAATCAGATCTAGGATAGCAAGTAATAGGCTCAAGGTTGGAAAGAAATCAGATCTAGGATAGAATGTAATCCGATCTAGGATATGAAGTAATCAGATTTAAGATAGGAAGTAATATGCTCTAGGATAGGAAGTTATCAGGTCTAGGATATGAAGTAATCATATCTAGGATAGGAAGTAATAGGCTCAAGGTTGGAAAGTAATCAGATATAGGATATAAAGTAATTAGATCTAGGATATGAAGTAATGAGATCTAGGATATGAAGTAATTAGATCTAGGATATGAAGTAATGAGATCTAGGATATGAAGCAATTAGATCTAGGATATGAAGTAATGAGATCTAGGATATGAAGTAATTAGATCTAGGATATGAAGTAATGAGATCTAGGATATGAAGAAATTAGATCAATCAGATATAGGACATGAAGTAATAGTATCTTGATTAAGAAGTAACAGGCTCTAAGATAGGAAGTAAGCAGATCAAGGATATGAAGTAATAGGCTCTAAGTTGGGAAGTAATCAAATTTAGGATAGGTAGTAATATGCTCCATGTTCGGAAGTAGTAAGATTTAGGATATGAAGAAAGATCGTGATACTGTTTGCACTATGGTAGATATAAAGCTTATTATACAAACTGGGCATGCCAATCTGGATATATAACGCATTAAATACTAACATTCTGACATTCAAATCCAACCCTGCATCACATAGATAGTGTTCTTGTACATGTATTGATCATGAGTAATTGTACATGTTTCATCATGAATTCATATAAGTGTATCACATATTTTATGCGGATTTTGCATTCATGATCATTTTGAGATATACATGCTACTACTGTTATATGTTAATTGTCACGTTTTAGTGATGCAAATGTTATTGACAAAGGTTAACTCAACCTATCTACTGGTGCATTCTAGATTACAAGGCCGCCAGACTCCGTACCTACTGATATATCTATCTAGGTTTTCTAATATTCAATTTAAATTATGAAGCAGGCTTGCATTTCTTGTCACCTATTCATATTTTACATATGGTACATTACTGACGACAGAGGAGGGTTTGTAAGATTACAATGGTATGCTCGAAGTTTTATGACGTTGTTGTAGAGATTTTTTCTAGTTCACTTCCAAGATATAGCTTCATATATACTTATCTCCATCGTTAATGTTATAACCAAGAACTCAGCATTAAAGTATTGTATACTGAACTAAAAGGTGGTCTCTATCAAGCGATGATAAAGTCACAAAACCATTATAACATACCTTTACAGAGGGGACACACCACCTAAGTCCACCCTAGGGCCATCCCGGCCCATGGGTTTATCCTGACCTCCAGGTCTTAAGTCTATATATATACGACCATATAAGGTTACAACGTCATTTTCCTTCATCAACCGGTAAATAATGGCATACGGAAACGTTCACATTTTGAATGATTCCCTATTTTATGACGCCTGTTGGTAGTATTCCGAATGTAGGGTAGTTTTACTGGGGTGGCCCGACCACAGCCTGCGTTAATCTAGCGTTTGTTGCTAGGCATGTCACATTAATAGGCTCTTCGGTCCGATATCAATTACGTACAGAGTGAAACAATAGCCCAGTTCGCGTATATGCATTGTGCCACGAGTGCTTTGTCTAGTGTTCGGCCACTATTAAACCATTTCAAGGGTCATTGGTGCTATAGACTTTGCGAGACTAATTGCCGAAACTTGGTCCAGTCACCTGGTTCGTTCACGTGATATTGCTTTTGTCTATCTAAACCACGGCACATGGAGCGAGCTATTTGACAGCTTGTTATTTCAAAACGCTTAACAATATAGATATTGATATCTGTTTTGGACGCATCTGTTTGAACTATTTTTAAAACGCCAACTACCTACACGGTTACACATACATTATAATTGTGAGACTGTTGATGTTCTCGTCCAAGTACATCTCCCATTAACATTTTTATATCATGTTCACGGGAGCTTCGATTGAACATTAATACTTTAACATGTACAGAATCACTGTTTCCGCCTGTATTTTTCCGCATCAACACTTTTTATAGCTTTCGGCCTGTGAAGTTATAGACGATATAAGCTGTTCTTGACCACAGTGCACACCTATAGGTAGGTAATCCCTGTGAGAACAGAACATCAGATCTATAATATCGTTTTCCGACGTTGAAGTTAATATGTTGTATTCATTTCAACAGCGAATACTACAAAAGGTATATTTATAGTGTGTGGTCCAAGGACAATCATTCTCAGGTACAGTCTTACTCATCTAGCAAAAATGAAACTTTTTATTTCTTAACCTGTTTTCTTAAAGTTTAAATGCTTCAATTAATAACTACGCTCCTCAGAACAGATTTTTTTTTCTTCTGATAACCCGACACGTTAACAAAATCTCATTTTAGTATGCTAATATGTTCACAGAGATTTTGTATATAGTCGCGCTGATGACCACTGTAATACAGACAGGGACAGCATTCTGCATTGGTATAGACAATGACAGTAGGAATGAACGGTGATGCACATTGATGACTTCCTTAGTTCAAAGACAAACCAATGAAGAATTTTTTCATTTGCCGGAAAAAGAATTACGTTAATGGTTCTTGTGTAATAACAGTTAATCAAGATACCTACAAAGAACAGCTAACATGTAAACGGAAGGTCAATAGTTTTATTCCGACAATATTATTACCTGTTTATCTAAGTCGAATTGATTTTAAATGATATATTAATCCTTGAATGATGATAAAACATTCATCAAATCTATATCGGAAGGGTAAGGTCACTTTTTTTATTAAACGTAGAGATGATAAGGGACTTCATGGAATCTCTTCATTACTGGACCGATTTGAATGATGCACTTAAGGGCAATATGTCTGTAAATCTCTATACTGGAAAATTGTATTATAGGTGAAAGAACCATCAATTTACAATACATCATTGCCAATATTGCTGTTATGAAATATTGTCATTTTCATATAGGTGACATCCTGCGTATTTGTTCATGATAAGAGTATTTAAATAACAACGAAATGATAAACTATAGGGGTCTAACTCGGGCCTTATCCAACAGCAACCATAAAGTTAAAAGGGGTTGCCATAGCCAGGTTTAATAAATAGTCAGCAATAAATTGAAATACGAAAACCTTGTCAAGAGAAAAGTATTTGTTTTTATGTTGCTATTTAATTGTTGGCGACACTTTCTGAGTTAAATACATGTGTAAACCTTCCTGTGATCAGTTGATGTTTTTTGACAAATAAAACACCTATCTGTCATGTTATCCTACATATTATTGTTACATCAAGATAAAAATAATCAAGAAATTACTTTTACAAAGTGTATATTGAAAACGTTTAACAAACATAAACCGACATTTACGTTATAAAACTTCGATATTACATAGAGACAGTGAGATAGATTGATTTTCCCGAGTAAGTAAGGACTGTATATTAGTATATTTGCATTCCCATGCCCTTTTGTGTGATACGTATCTCGACACAAAGTCAAACCTTTAGAACAATACACATCGTTAGGGAGATACACTAGAGATATACATTTGTATATATACCTAGGGGTAGAATAGGTGGCCTATAACATAGTGGGTAGAAGGAATGTGTCCCTGGCTGACACGACAACAATTAAACTGGATTTTAATTAAAACTACATACAGTACAACAACTGAACAGTTCTTGGGTATTGGCGCGTAACAGTGTGTCTTCTGTAAACGACCACGCACTCAATTCTTACCAGCTAATCAAGCACGCTGTTTACGAAAAATGACGGATAAGCCGTCAGTGTGCTGTTTTATAATGTATTAAGCAGGTGTTAGTCCGTAACAGTACACCAACATGTCGTCAGATCAATGGTAGAATCGGACAATTTAACAAAGAAAATTTATATTTTCAAGATAAATATAACAACTTTGAGATGTGATACTGAAACGTTATCAATTTGTTTAATATTTTGGTGACATTAATGTTACGATTCTGGTATTTATGACAGGTTAGATTCAGTTATCCTGGCACGTCCTTAAATGGTAATAGCTGTTGATATGGCGTAAAAGACCAACAAACAAACAACAAACAAAACAAAGATTCCGTGGTCCTAGTTATCACCTAAACAGTCAATAACACCATTCTGTTATACACTGACACAAAGGCTTATACTCGTCACGTTATAGCATAGTCCAGTCTAGAGAGTCTTGTATTGTTTAACTAATCAAAACAACTTGTATACTGTAAACCTGAGATAAGTAGATGGGTATAGTCATTCAACAGGTCAATGGCTGGCGTTACTGTAGAACTGACGGGCGAGATGGTTTAAGTGGCCGAATTCGGTTTTAAAATGTTTGAACAAGAGTGGTATTGAAAGTTAAAAGCAAGTCAAACTTCTTGAAAATGACTCCTGAAATATTACACCGCATAATTGTATTCAAATTAGTACGTATGCAATGACTAGCTAAACACTTCAACAAAATGTTGTTGATATTTCATTCGCACCCTTGTTTGTTTATCATTTTGATCTACACGAATATAAGTTAATGGGTGGGCTGTCCGCTCCATGTCTCACACGATAGTTGATTTAGGAACCATTACGAAATACTGGACATCTTATGCAATGGATGTGTTATATAAGTTTTGTGAATATGAACTGTTACAGTCCGGCCATGACGTACAGCTATCTAGAGCTGGTGTATGGGGTCCCCACTACTTACTTGATGGATATCTCCTACGACAAGGCCTACTTATTTAACAGATAATTCATCAAAAATAGAAGAACGTATTGATAGTTTTACGTTGGTTAGGGAATTTAGTGGTCCTTTCATATTGATGGTAGTACATAATGATTGTTTTATGTCAATGGGGATATATTTTATTTGCTTACCGTTGCTGGTTGTATAAGTTGATTTTTTTCACACTTTTACAATACATAGGGGTTCTTCACATTTTAACAATTCATAGGAATTGCTTCACATTTTTACAATCCATAGGAATTGCTTCACATTGGGGGAGATACATGTAACAATACATAGTGATCTTAGTGATATTGTCTATTCATCAGAGTGATACTATCCTGTTCATTTTGAGGGAAAGATAATATCACTAAACGAATAGGTTATATCACTACAAAGGACTAGTGTTATCATGGAATTATTTACTGATATCACGTTATCACTATAGAGATATTACCAATTCACTATATATGAAAATAGCACTATATCGATTTGTTATAATAATCACCATAATGAAATATGACATCACGTTACTACATCACTTATTACAGTGATATCGATATATGTTTTGTTTACCCGTTCTTTACTCACCTGATTATCGTCTTTAAGGAACTTCTATTTCTGCGGGGTTTTTGTCACAAGATTCTGAAAAGAAAACGAAAGAAAGCTTGTATATATTAACTTACTACAGTTCTGTGTAAAACTGTCTTTGAAACCTCCAGGTGTTAGACGAGAGTGTATTTATAAATGATATTACCAATAGTATGTCTTCATTGATCTGACTTTCAACCTCCGTCCATCTTTGTGCTCATTTACCATTAGACATTTTAGTATTGATTAAATTGTCATAATACCAACACTATACGTTTTACATGTACATGTTTATGGTCAGATGTTGATGTGGGACTGAAACTATCAGGTGATAATAAAATAACTATTGATTTCTGAAGCAACCTCTTTGTCATGTGTTCGTACCTTTTACATTATTAATTATAGAACATATAGCAAACCAAACAGGGAGATCAGCATAGTAACTGACAGACGCGGCTTCACGATAAATGTTCAGTATTTAATATATCGCGAACCATCCAGGCAAACACTAATTTGTACTACGTCGAGCAGCTCATCCGCATTGACACCACAATAACGCGGTATGTAACATCCGTTCCTCTTTGATGGTGTCAATTAAAGCCCAGTCTAGCGCTCTGTTGTAACGACATGTCAATACAGTGTGTATCTCTGTTTTAGCTGTTTGACCACTCATGGCCGGCAGTATGACGGGGAGGTTGACGGACGATTGTCCTCGTCCTGAATGCTCATTTTGTACCTGACAGAGATGTAATTATCTCACTCTGATGTGGTCGATGTATCGATGTGTATTCCTTTAGCGGTAAATAGCTGACAACATACTGAGGCACGTTTAAATGGCACCAATAAGCTAATCGATGGGGCTGATAGTGGGACAACCAGTTATTATGTGAAACAGACATTAACTGTCTGTATACAAAATATGAAAACAGACACGTTTCTTTGCAATTTCATTAGGTATTAGTTTCTACCATTGGTTGTTTACCGTTGGTATGTATCAGTGTTTACCATTGGTATGTATCAGTGTTTACCATTGGTATGTATCAGTGTTTACCGTTGGTATGTAACAGTATTTACCGTTTGTATGTAACAGTGTTTACCATTGGTATGTATTTGTATCTGTCATCGGTATATATCAGCGTCTACTATTGCTAAGACTTGTTCGCTATGTCTTTAGTCCCCGTTACCTACATACGTTTCTATGTATATTTGTAGGAGACGGGGACCACAT